AATATATGCAGTGTATTATTTGTTGAAACTGTACTTCCGATTTGATTTGAAACTGTCTCATTGCTATCTGTTTATCAATAAAACTTTGAAAAAAAATAAAAAAACAACAACAACAAAATAAACTGTATTCTTATGGTGGATTATGGCAAAAAATGTTTATAAAGTTGTTTTGAGATCTATAATTGTTCTTTGCCCCAACTGGGTGGTGTGATCTTGTACTGACCACAGTGGATGAAAGGAGGGTCCTGAAAAGACCTAGAGGGGCCAGTAGCACCCCCCCCAACCCATGTGACAGTCCTCCAACCTCTGTCTCAGCTAACCTTCCCTTTTTCAGGCCCAAGTGCTTTTGTCATGTCAGGTGAGCTGCTAGTTTGGAAGGGATTTATATTTCATTAATTCACCTGGCAAATATTTACCAAATAATTGCTAAGTGCCTGATATATAGGATGAATTACACTAGAAAAACTAAGCCATGCTATAGTGTTTAGAAGTTTGAACATGCTTTCTGTTGACCCTCTCTGTTGGTGTTATAATAATATTTTCCAGTGTATAGAAGTGTTGTATATAAGTGGTTGCATGTGTCTATGGTTTTATACCAAACATGATGGCAGTCTCAGCACTCTGAGGAAGGAGGATGACTGGTCTAAACCCAGAAAGAGCAGCTTAGTGCATTAGCAAGACCCTGTGCCAAAATTTGAAGTTCAGTTTTTCAAAGGGCTGGGGATATAGCTCAGTGTGAAGGGCCTGGGTTCAATACTCACTCTCTCTCTCTCTCTCTCATATATATATATATATATATATATATATATATATATATATATATGATGCAGCTTTACTTCAAACTGATGAGATGAAATTTTATTTGTCTTTCTACAGATCCCAAATTTTACAAATTTAAGAACACTGCTCAACTCTGAGAAGCCTTCAAAATCAGCATTTTCCTTCTGAGAATGCAAGAACATTTGTCCCCAGGGATGAGGAGATAGCTCAGCGGTAGAAGCACCTGCCTGGCAAGTGCAAAGTCCTGAGTTCAATCCCTAGTACAGCAAACATTTGTCCTTATTGAACACTACAGGAACACTCTGTAGGCAACCACTCCTAGGGTCTTCACTGTATAAGGTATAGAGGAGGTGACAGAACCAAACTACTATGCTTACTACCTTCTTAGGAAGGCAAGACTTTTTTTTTTCAGTGCTGGAGATCAAACCCTCAGGCAAGCACTGCATGACTGTGTTACCTGCCAACCTTAACACACTTTTTAAAGAGTATGGGACACTGGTGTGATAAAGCTAAAAAGTGCTAGCCAAACAAGGAAAACTAAGTGTGGACAGTTGCAACAATGCTGTGTGTGGTTCCCCCAGTAGGAGGCTGTTTGCACCGGTGGTAACATGCACCCTAAGGACAGAGGCCACACTTTCTTCCCCTCTGCCTCTCTTTTCAGGTGGATGACATGCATCGACTCTAAGTGACCGCAGATAAGAAAACTTTGGTCTTCCAAAAACATGCCTGGGTGTTTATAGAAACTTTATACCTAATTGGCAAAAGTTGAAAGTAACCATGATGTCTTTCAGTAGGTGATTGGATAAGCAACCTGTAGTAACACTCAGATAATGAAATATTATTCAGCTCTAAACAGAACTCAGGGGGCCGGGGAGATGGCTCAGTAGAATAAGCGCTTCCTTGACAAGCGCAAGGGCCTGAGTTCAATCCCTGGTTCTACCAAAATAAATAAATAGCCCCCGCCCTTCCCGTGGACGTTGCGCTGCCGCCCACGCGCCCGAGAAACCAAGACACA